AAACTCCCAGCCAAGTTTTTTTTTTTAACATAATAAAGCTGACTGTAAAACATGAATATAAATACAGAAACCAGAATGGACAGAAGAACGACAGGAAGACTTTTATCACTCAGTTTCAAGACCAACTATAAAGACACAGAATCACAAAACTGTAATGTCAGTGAAAGAGAAAGACAGAGATGGAATAATCACATACAGTCAAGTGACTATTTACGGCTGTGGCTGGAGTGTGTGTGTGTGTGTGTGTGTGTGTGTGTGCCCCAAAACTCACAAGTGAACTTTTCTCCTCAAGGCATTGGTCTTAATTTGGGTTTTCAGGAAATGACTAGGTAATGAATCTCTCACTAATTAGATGAAGTCCTTATGAATCGGGCCTAAAGATGCAATGCATCTTTGAATGTGTTTTGTTCATAAGCTCCACAGCCTATAGTATTTGACTTTTAGGAGCCGACAAAGAGTAAGGTATTGATAAAGACATGAGGACAAGGCTGTGTTTTCAACAAATATAGAGAGAACAAGCGGATGCTCGAGACCAAAACATTTAAAAATTAACTTCAACTTGCCTGAGGTATAACTCATATATTGAATTATATATCTAAACGTAAAACATAAAACTGTAACATTCCAGAAGAAAACATAGAAGCCATGTAACCCCAAGTTTACATAATATTTAGATAGAACACTAAGTACATGATCTATATAAAAACAATTGATAAATTGAGCTGTATCAAAGGTAAAGACTTTCACTCTAGCAAAGACACCAGTAGAAGAATGAAAGACAAGCTGTTACGAAATGCCTACTCACCCGGGTATAAAGACAACGACAGACCAAAGGAATTAACTTCTCCAAGCACAATCTAGGGGACCAGTTAGTTATCACAGTTACCTATAGTCTGAGTGACTTGAGCAGCTAGTTGCATCACCAAAAAGACCTAGCACCCTGAGTGATGACTCCCGGAGACTGGAGGTTCCCTGCACAGATGGGAAGTATGATACACTAGAGGAATTTCCTCCTCTCTGCACTGACACATGATTATCACACACTGCTTATACAGCTTCAGGGAGGAACTGCAGGAATGTAAGCTCCTGGTGAGTTTTGTGAGCTTCCTGAGCCCGCTCCCTATGGTAGCAGGATTGTTTTGATCCAGAGGAAACAAGAGGTCAAAGGTGTGAAGGACAGGACCCACAGAGGAGGTTTGGAGAAAGGGTAGATGCCTCTGGAGCTCTTCTCTCCTAACCTATCATCTTCAGGCTGTTTCTCTTTGCCCAGTGTTTAGGAGAATGTGCATTCTTGCTTAGCTGAGTAGAGCCCTTCTTCTTCCAACCTGACACGTGATTCCTGCTTACTATCCTGGAGCCCTTTAGCTAAACCTCCCCATTCTTCAAGTCTACTGGCCCAGAGAGAGATGCCTAAACTCCAGGTAAACTGCTTCTAAGGTTGTTGGCAGTTTTTGTTGACCCTCTTACTGACAAAATCCCATTATTTCTCCAATTGACCCATTGAACAAGACAAGAGAGGACTCTCTCCTGTGTGGTTTCATAGACAAATGGTGGGCTTCTGCTCAAAATATCCTGGGAGTCGTATACAAGTGATGTTCTCTTCCAAATCCCTAGCATCCTGCATCACATGCAGTCAGACACCAGTCTTCCAGGACAAGGGTTACCACCAAGTCCTCTGTGTTCTTCAAACCAAAGGAGCTTATTTCAAAGACCCCCTCCCCCAGAGGGATCCCTTGAAGTACCTCTCACAATCCTCTTGGAAACTACTTCAAAGTAATGATGCGCTTTTAAGAAATAAAAAAAAAAAAACACTTTTACTAGCTTCGTCTTATCTTTCCTTCTTATTTATTTCTTTGATCTTATTGAGTGGTCCATGGGCCAAGGATTAGTTCTCAATTTATTTCTTCCATAAAATACTTATGCGGGGGATAGAATGTCTTACACTGACTCTGGTATCCAGATATCCAACCTCTTGGACGCAAGTGAAAAATAAATCAGGGCGATAGTGTTGTCTAGCCTCCAGAAGGAGCACAGTGAAGAAGAAGACAGACATGCCTGAGGTTATATCGGATGGTGGAGTAATTAAAGTTTATACTTTTCTTTGAAAGTACAAACTGGTGTGACTTTAGAAGGCTGTCTATCAGCCCACTAAAGCTGAAAACTGCATGTCTTGTGAACTACTCTCCGCTCCTAGGTTTTATGCCCTAGAGAAATGCACACTTGTTTTCATCAACAAAGGCCACTACTTATATTTTGAAAAACAGAGCCTGGGCACAAATCCACAGTGAAATTGATAAAAATAATTGTGACCCTTTTCTGCAGTGGCACACTCCATAGAAATGAGGATGAAATCTCGAATCACATATGATAACACAGACAGGACTCACACTATAATATTGAAGTTTAAAAGACAGACATAAACATTCATTCTGAATAATTCTACTTATATAAAAACTGAAAAGACACAAGACAAACCCTGGTACTCCAGGCCCTCCTTAAAAGACTGATACTCAGGGACTAAGAGTTTGACCGTGCTCCACTGAGTATACGGGTAACACAAATTGCACTTATTCTGACTGGAGGGGTGTCCTTCTTCTTTGGGTGGGCTACAAGGGTGGGGGCAGACCTGGGAGGGAAATGAGTGTAATCAGAGTGCATTATATAAAATTCCAAAATAATCAATAAAAGTATTATGTTAAAAAAAAGAATACAAGTAGTCAAACCAATGTTCTTTAGCTGTTGTCATTCATGGAAATTCAAGTTCATGAAAATCAGCCCTACCACCCTGCTATAGAAAGGACACAAACATTAAATATCAGCTGGAGACAATCTTGTCTGATGTATATTAAATGAGAATGTTCATCGTCTTAAATAACTATCGTTTGGCTTTTATTTCTGAGGAAAAACTGTCTTTATAAAGAAAATGTATGAAATGCCATTCAAAGCATGCAACTGCCACTATGAGTCACAAGAGGGCAGCAGTTACAAGGCACAGTTAGGGAAATGGCATAAAAAACTTGCATGGCAAGAAATACTAATCATGTAGACAGATATTGAGAAACAATTCTCACAATTTGTTTAATCATTCTAAATCTTTTCATTCATAATTCTAAGGTGTAAAAATGGCATAAATAGCCTATGTAAAAAAATTCTATTTATTTTCATTTTTTTCTATATATTTCTTGAATAGTCATATATAAAACACAGGTTAAGATTAGTCACTACGGAAGGGGTCACATATTTATTTCCATAAATGTTATATTCTGTGTTTTTCACTTTACTGAATAAGATTTAACTGAAATTGTGTATTCTATTCAGAGTTATGGAAACTGAAGTTTACAAGTGAGTGATTCATACTACCTAACACTATCAACAAGGCAGAATTTGGTATTTTCTGATCGTTTTCACAAGTGTCCATCAACATGACATAATAACAGTGACATCTTTGGCTAACTCATATATGTTTTGAAACATCATTCTCATAAAGTCCTGTGAAACTAGAACATTAGTTTTATGATTATAGGATTTTTTAAAAACCTGGCTACCAATCTTCTCTACTGGATCATCATTGACCCTTGGGCTGGAGTAATGGCTCAGCAGTTAAAAGCACTGACAGCTCTTCCAGAGGTCCTGAGTTCAATTCTTAACAACCACATGGTGGCTCACAACCATCTGTAATAGGATCTGATGGCTTCTTCTGATGTGTCTAAAGACAGCTACAATGTGCTCATATGCATAAAATAAATAAATCTCAAGAAAATGATCCTCATCCAGCAGGTAGTAACCACAAAAGCAGATAAGAGTAACTACTACACCCATCCACGAAGCCCCTCTTACATGAGATGGGGACCATCACAGAAAACCATGACCAGACATGATGCAGATATCAAGGATCATGGGGAGTCCAGTTCTGATAGATACATTTACATCACAGTTCCTGCAACTATGGCTCAGGGGGCATTGTGGAAGAAGAGACAGAAAGACTGTAATAACCAGAACATCAGGAAGTCTGTGTTGAAACACTGGGTGCAGTGGGGACCATCAGATGCCAACAGCCGTTCAGTAGAGCTGATATCATTAATCTGAATTCCCGTGAATGCCTACGGCTGGTGAATGATGGTTTGAGTACCCGTATTCTGAGGAGGGCAGGGAATAATAGGGCTTGTCTTGCTTGTTTTCAACTTTCGTGTATTTTATTATGTGAGAAGACCATGAGTTCTTCATTCAGGGCAGTAGATATCACATCCCCCTCCTTGATGCCCTGTCTTTATTCCCTATCTTCGATTATGTTGTCTGGCACAAAAGCCTTCGAGAGGGTGACACTGGTCCTAACACTGGAAGTAAGGAAACCTTTGCCTTATCTATAACCAGCACACACCCTGTAGAGGAAATAAGGTAAAGTTGTTGTTGTTGTTGTAGTTGAGGGTTAAGGGGTTATTGCTGAAGAACACAATCAGACAGAATGTGGGACTTAAAAATTAACCAGCTCGACTCTTAATTCACAAGCTACTCAAGGCTTCAGAAAATTAGATGAGTGATCATTTTAACTTACATGGCTGAAGCATGAATGCACCCATATCGTAAAGCCTATGTTCTCACAGGCACCAGACACACCGCTGTTGTTTAAGACACTTCCAATTTTATTTCATTCTTAATTCCCATCTCAATTATAACACATTTGCTGGGTGGTGTGGAGTGTGCTAATTCTAACACAGAGGCAGACAGATCGCAGAGGCCAGTCTAGTCTACATAGTGAGTTCCAGGGCAGCCATGTATGTATGTGTATGTGTTTGTATGTGTATGTAATGTGTATGTAATATATATATAAATATACACATACATATGTACATAAATATACATCTATACATCTATATGTAGTATTATAGATTTTTCTAACCGAGATCCCTAAGACAACTCCCTACAACCACCCCTACAACAATGGTGTCTTTCTTTTGTTCCCATTAAGCCTGTCTGTGCTTCAGAGCTCCCGGGGCACTTACGTTCTAGAGCATTGTAAAGGAGCTCAAAGTCTTCGGTTGTTTTAGGGTTGTGCCTCCGGTAATAGTCCATTCGTATCCATTCTTCCTTCTCTTGAATCTTCAAGAGTTCTTGCTGTGCTTCCCACTCCAACCTCAATTTCTTTTGTTGTCTCAAGCTGTCTACATAGCGCTTAGCATGCCATCGCCTGTAGGAAGTCTGTATCACTATCACCTGTTTTTTAAGGCAAAAGGAAACAGAAGATGTCACTGACTTGTTGATCAGAGCATAAGGAAAGGAAGAAAGGATTGTTTCAGCTCAAATTCTACAACAAAATAATATTGGTAGCCTGGCTTTATTTCTTTCTGAGACATTAGCATGTACAATAATATTAAACCATGGATAATGTGCCACTATTCTTTGGCTTCAAAATCTAGCCATACATTACTATAAGACTATTGGCATGTATGTGAGAGCACTGACTCTAGAGCGAAGGTCAGTGTAAATCTTCCTTCTGCTTTTCCTCCCTGTCTGGCTTTGGGTAAGTAACTAACCATTGCCTCTATAATAGCGATAGGCATAGAAGGTGCTTAGCCCCACAGTTGTTCAGTAAATATTACAGCAGCTAATGACTCTAGCTTACGGAGTGGCTATGAGTTTAAACACATATTTACAACAGAATTGTATTTTGTAAACACAAATAATAGACTATTTTGTTTGGAAGCATGATGGAAAATTTCCCTCTGTGTAGACCTTGCCCTGTATAGACTTGCACTAGATATAGCCTACCCAGTGGAGTCTCCACAGTCTCCATGAATATGAAAACGGTGATTTTTTTTTCCCTACAGTTATATGACATTGTGAGAGATGCTCCAGGGTCTCCAGGAAAAATTAACCTTTCAGGGCAAGAAGGAAAATATTCTGTTTTAATCTATCTAACCACATCAGAATTTCCTTTTAGTATATACCAAAGAATAATTGATCATTTTAAAAGAGCCAACAAAAGAGAAGGTCCCTAATGGAAGAGCAAGAACAGTGTACCTTTGTGGAGAGAATAACTTGCATAAGCAGATAGCAGAGTAGAGCCTAGACTAACAGCATCAGTGGTTATCTGGAAATTTCCACAGGTGTGAATTCCTAGGTGCCACCCCAGAGGTGCTGAAGAACAACTGTCTGACAAGCAACAAGCTCTCCACTGGATTCTAAAGCTAAAGTTTCTGAACCACTTTACTAACATGAAACACAATAAAAATAAGACCAAACTAGACATGATTAGTGTCTTTCGAGTAAAAGGAAAGATGTCAGTATAAACCAGTCAATATTAAAAGAATAAGTACATTTCAAAAACAATAAATAAGTAGGAAACATATTAGCACGGGATGATTTTGAACTTGCTAAAGGAATTAAGGCTGCAAAAGAAGCTTTTTAAATACTAACAAATGCTTTTCTGTTCTTACAGAAAAAACCAGGGCTATGCCAATAGACTCTGTGTTTTGAGAGTCTGTTGGACAGCCTTGACCAACAACTCAAAAGAAGGATTCTCATGTCTGGTATTGAAAGGAGGAGTGGTTGTTCAGTGGTCTTCAGCTCTTGGAAGGAGCATTATCGGTCTTGATTAGAAAAATTCATTAAAATTATAAATGTATTTTTTTCATAGAATTGCACGCATTATAGTTTTTAGGTAAATGGCTAATGAAATGATTACTTGTGACTTTTTCAGATATTCATACTACGAGTAGTCTCCCTTCTTCTCCTGTATTACCTCTCTCTACTTTCCCTAGGAAGCCTCCTTTTTATCCCTCTTCCCCTTTCAGATCTCTTCTTGCCTTATATTCCTCCTTACCCTCATCCTCCTGTCCTTAGCTCTCCCTCCAAAAGAGTTACCACTTTGCCATTTCCCTGACCAGTTTAACTGCATCCTGATCTTCCCCGCTCTATTGCTCTCCACTCCCATGATCTGGCAACAGTCCCATTTTACTCTCTTGGTTTCCATAGTCACCGTAGGCTATGTACTTCCACCTGATGATTTGGAGCTAGGGGGCCTTCAATGACAGAGAGTATGCAACACTTGTCTTTCTGAGTCTGAGTTTCCTCACTCAATATCATCTTTCCTAGTTGCTATTGGCCTTGGTTACAATCAAGAAGTGGACAGTAGATCTCTGTTGCTGCAGAGACTATACACTTCAGAAAGAGGATCCAAAGATCCCTGAGTTGGAACTCACCTGCATGCTGTCTCCCTGAGGACCGGCGTTCATGGTATCTGGAGGCACCATACAAGCCTCCAAAGGAGGGAAGTAACCAAAAATCCTACCCACATATGATATCTATGAATCACATCAATGGCAGGCATAGTATTATTAAGATTGTAATAATGGCACACACACACACACACACACACACACACACACAAAAGGTGGTAATCAACAGCTCTATAATTAGATATAATTGGATTTTAATCTTTCTTACTGAAGGAGAATCTACAACTAATAAGTTACTAAGCCTCCTCCCTTCCCTAAACTTCTAAAGTTCATGGGCTTCTCCCCACCCCCGCCCCTGCCCAGTCTTCTAATGCTACTCTTTCCTGCTATGCACTCTCATGATCAGGCCTCTCTTTGTCTTCATATCTCACTCTTCTCTCTGTCTCTCTGCTCTGTTTCTGCTTCTCTCTTAGCCAGGTTCAGTCTACTGACCATGTTCAGTCTACTATCTTCTGTGTCTCCTCTCTGGATTCTTCCTGATGCCTATGTTGTTTTCTCCCTCATATCTATGATAAAAAACCTTGCCCTTAGTCACACCATGGTATGGTCATCTAATCAGTTTATACAGATGGGGAAAAGTCCAAAAGACCTCAACCCTACATAAAGAACTATAGGCAACTGGGGAAAGCTGGGAACAAGAGAAGTGGTCTTCCCCAGGGGAAAAAAAGCACACCAAGTCGTTGTCCAGTGATAAATGGTCAGCTCCAAAAAGAAAATATATATAACAAGCAGTATTATAT